TGCAAAGTTACAGTAGCAAAAATTAAGAAAAGCAATGAAATAGGATATGATAATAAGAATAAGATACTACATGCAATGATTTTCTGCCTGACCAAAAAAAATTCCCACGCGTGGGACTAATAAAGGTTTATCTTATCTTTATCTTATAAACTTACAGCTGAACTGAATTCAGTTACAGTCAAACAGGATCAATTTTTAATATTTCATGTTGTGTTTTATTCTTCAGGTAAAACTTCCTAACACCAGGGTAGATGGATACTTGATCCCAAACTGACCAAAGTGAAAACAACAGTTTCTATGACTGCAAAGCGTTCACTCTGTGCCGATATGATCACACAGAACTCCACATCTGTTTGCATGAACATGTGCTCAAACATACAGGCATGCAGCATTGTTCCATGTTTATTTTTCCAATGTCTGCTTTTAGCTTTATGTCAGAAATGTAATGTTCAAGGTTATGACCTGACGTCAGACTGGCTCCAAACACAGTACAGCCTATACAGTATGCAGTACACACAGAGCAGTGTATGCAGTTGAGAGTACATTTGTCCACATACAGATATCTGAAGCCTTCAGCTGTTACTGCTGAACATGACGGAGACAGCTGCTGGAAATACCACACACACACACACACACACACACACACACACTGCCTTCTCATGGTAACATGGTTGACTTCAGGTGTGTTTTGTTGCTTCTCGCATTAATAAAGTAATAACTGGGTTACAACATCTAGAATCAAGTCTGGGCACAGGTTTGTCCTGTGGCTCTTCCCCATACCAGAGCTGGTCCGTCTGCCACGTTTGTGTTTTAAATTCTCAGGCATGACGCTTCATGTTTTTCAGCCGAACAGATGCGTCATACCTACAGGCGAATGAGCAGCTGGGATTGACTAGCGCATGTTCACACCTGTACTTGTAGCACAGGTAAACAGGTGATTCACCTCAACAGGAGTGCATGACAACCTTTGACAACCTTTTCTTATTTCAGATCGCTGTGGATGGTGAGTCCAGGATGTACTTCCTGTCTCTGATCCTAATCAGACTGTGGACCTATTAGATCTCAGAGGAGTCATGAACTTCGGGTCTGAGTCCTGGCAGTGGTTCAGGGTCCTTCTGGACTAGACTAACAGCAGTGTTTCTTAGACTTTCCAAGGATCGGGACTATGGGACCTCCGGTCGTTCAGGGAGCTCCTGTTGTACCAAAGATGGGGGTCAGGGCCCGAATGTCCGACTTGTCTCAGAGGAGGGATGCTCAGGAGGGTCTGAACTCGAGCTTTCTGAGTCAACCTCCCCATTCCAACAAGAGTCTGGACCCCCAGCCCAGGTCAGAGACCACATTCCCAGTTCGCCCGAGTCCTTCCACCAGCAGGAGTTTGGCAAGGATGAAGAGAAGCAACAGTGAGGTGACGATCAGTGATGCCGGAGCTGAAGACCCTGCTGCCATCAACCCAAACACAGACGCAAGTCTGAGGCGAAAGTGCTGCAGCACTTCGACACTGGACCGCCAAAGTTTGTCACGATCCACTGAGACTCCTTCCTGGAGGCTGGAGCAGCAGGTGCCCAGCGCACCGCCTCCGTTCCCAGAACCTCCACAGCTTCATGCTGCACCGTCGCCCAGTCTGCAGACTGCCGCTCGCATTGCTCATGGGGATGTCATCTATGTACCCAACTATGTGAACGCTTCGGTTTATGTGTCGCATGTTCAGAAAACAAAGCCGGAGACATCGATCCTCAGCAGACTAAGGAATCAGAGGACAAACAGGGACATAAGACCCAGCGCAATCTCTTACAAATGCTTTTCTCATTATGATAGTCAGAGTGTCCTCTTCGACTTCAGCAGCGGCTTTGTCCCCCAAGCAGACCTCCAGCACAGAAGGAACGACTCCACCTCTGGATGTGATGTGTTTGATGCTTTAAGCCCTGACGAACGTGAAAAAAACAACTTTCTGGTGAGCAGCTGTCCGTTCTTTCATAATGAGATTGGAGGGGAGATGGAAAGGAGGCTGGGCCTGACTCGGGCCAACACCTCCACCTGCGGTGCTGCAGCAGACACATCCTTCAGCGAGCCGCCGCTCAGCACCCGCCGCACCAACGCGAGCATCTCAGTGTTGGAGTTTAGTGGAGGAACTCGGGCGTTCGACCAAAATCTGATGAATAATCACGACATTGAACACATTGACCTGGGAGCCAGATACTACCTGAAATACTTCTACAACCAAGGTAAGTCCAGTCGAGGGCCAGACTTCACCACGATGCAGAAGCTGGATGCTCTTCCTAAAAGTAAAGCAAGGACGCTTTTTTAAATAGTGCCACCAGTTTAATCTAGTTCCAACAAAAAGATATTTATAACAGGAAGAGTGTTTAAAAGATCTCAGTATCCAAAGAGTTAAAAAATAAGCAGTTCAATAACTTCCAACAGAAACATTCTGCCATAAGGATAGGAGACACGATCAACATGTGACTGTGTGCTAAAAACAAATGCAATGATATTTCTGACTGTAAATGAAAAGAAAAGAACTAAATATGAAGATCTGAAGATCGAACACACAGGTGTCGAACTCCAGGCCTCGAGGGCCGGTGTCCTGCAGGTTTAGATGTGTCCTTGATCCAACACAGCTGGTTTAAATGACTAAACGACCTCCTCAACATGTCTTGAAGTTCTCCAGAGGCCTGGTAATAAACTAATTATGTGATTCAGGTGTTGACCCAGGGTGAGATCTGCAGGACACCGGCCTTCGAGGCCTGGAGTTCGACACCCCTGATCTAATGGAAAAAAAGTATTAATTTAAGCACTGTTACTGCGCTCGCGTTCAGGTTTCTGTTTTCACTGATGTGAGTGACCTTCTGTTTTTTTTCTGTCAGATCACCAAAATTATTTTGGCATTGATGAGAACTTTGGTCCGGTGTCTCTGAGCCTCCGGCGAGAGAAACTGGAGGAGAGGAATGATGAGACACAGTACAACTACAGGATGATCCTCAGGACTGGTCAGGTAACTAGTCAGGTGACCGGTCACGTGACTGGTTAGGTGACCGATAACCTGATCACAGTCTGGTTTGAGATCATTTTCGATTACTAATTTATAAAGTGACTGTTGGTGATGCTGTTAATCCCTGTTTGTCCTTGTAGTCTGATCCAATCATGCCCCCTCTTTCAGCTGTCTACCCTGAGAGGATCCATCACAGAGGACTCTATCCCATCTTCATCCAAACATGGGACCAGTCGACGTCTTCCTCTGAAGGATGTTCTCGAGTTTGTGGTTCCTCAACTTAGCATCCACAGTCTCAGACTGGCTGCTGATTCACCCAGAGTCCCTGAACTGCTGCTGCAGCTGGACCAGCAGGAGGTGAGCCAGTCCCAGTGTGCCACCCACCAGCTGACCATGAAACACCTGCCACTGCCATGGTTGGCCTTCCCATGTCTCTGACAGGATGGTCTGTGTTAAACTAGAATCCCGTTTCATAGCCATTTTGCTAAATCGTGCTTTTGATGCTGTGACGCTTTCACATAATGAAACAGTTGGCATAAGAATTCAGCTTCTCGCGCTACGTCCACCATTCTGATCAATGCTGAGTAGCGTGTTCTTCAAAAACACCCAAACACACATCCTCAGAGAGGTTTTCACAGGCAGCAGTTACGAGTTCTCAGTCTGAAAGAAATGATTCACTATTATCTCATCCTTCTAGAGCTTAGAGATCCTAATAAAGCTTCTGTGATTCTGTCCAGTTTAGAGACAAACTCAGACTTGATGCTATTAACTGGAACAAGTAAGATGTACCTTTTTAATCAGCTAGTTTTTGTCACGTTTTCCTTACTTTTTGGTGGCCCTCCCAGAGGTCAGTACAAAATAAAGAAAACCTTCTTGCTGTGCTCTCTCAGAAGTTTAGCAAAGTGATACAAAGCAGTTTTTTTAAGTGGCCACTGGAAGCCTGAGCAGAAGAAGAGAGGTCTCTTTAAGCTTCAGTCAGACTGAAATCCCAGGAGACGACATCAGCCTGAGAACACAGCAGGAAGATGATAAGGTTACTATCGCATTAATATGAGATATCCACATGAGCGGCAGGAGGGTGCTCCTGCCTTCAGGTGTCACAGGTAAGAGATGAGGTAAAACACTGTGATAGGCTCATCTTTTTGTCCAGGTGCCCTAAAACGTCCACTGCAAGAGGGAGAAGTCAGCTGACCTTCCGATGTTGTGTGAAATGACCAAAGGTCTCCGGACACAGCATCATCAAGTCAATATAAACAATAAAACCAGTAAATCCAGTACAAACAGTGACACCAGCACCAAGTACTCCTGTTTCAACTAACTATTATACAAATGATTTTTACTTGTGTGGGAAATCTAACCCCTCTTAGACCTTCACCGCAACTTTCCACACGTTCAAGTTTCTCATGCGCTTCATGTCTGGTTATGCAGAAGGTTACCGGGTAGGGTTAAAAGATTTCCCGCTGAAGCGTAATTCACGCATCAGTTCCAAACCTTCTGAATTGGTCTTATAACCAGCACCTTCAGAGTCCCGCTGGTCCACGCTGACCCTGCCTGCTTTTCTTTGTTTTACTGCAGCTGAGGTTCCAGCGCAAAGTGGGCGTGTTATTCTGTCGGGCTGGTCAGTCCACCGAGGAGGACAACAGTGACTCTGGCAGTCCCGCTCTAGATCAGTTCCTGGACCTTCTGGGCCACAGAGGTCCACTGAAAGATACCAGCGGTACCAGCACCATTTCTTTTTTCTGAAACAAAACCGGGTCCTTGTTGGTCCTGGTTCTGCAATACAGTACTCGCAGTGATGTCAGAATGGTTTTTGGTAATTGTTGTTACTTTCTGTTTGCTTATTTTTGTTTCCTGTCAGACGACTCAACAGGGAGGCAGTCAGTTTTTACAACGTTCAGAGAATTCAAGCTGATGTTCCACGTGTCCACGGCAAGCAGCCCTCAGCAGGTGATTCTCCTGTTTGACCTTGTGCTGTGTACTGCACAAGTACCAGAACTAAAGTTTTCAAGTTATTTATTTATTTATTAACCTTTATTTAACCAGGAAAATCCCATTGAGATTAAAAACCTCTTTTTCAAGGGAGACCTGGCCAAGATAGGCAGCAGCAGGTGTCTCACAGTTACAGAAATTACTCAAACACAGGCAGCAACAACACACATGCAACAATAAGTGAAAGAATACAAATAAAATTAAATTCAATTAAATAAAAATAAAAAAGTCAGTTAAAATGACAATCTAATTGAAACAGTTGCATGTTATGGACTTGGCCTCAAGGATCCGTAGTTTCGATTTAAAAGCACTTAATGAAATGAATTCAGTCATTTTCCTTCTGCAGTTTGTTCCAAGCCGAGGGTGCTGAATGGACAAAAGCTCTTTTACCAAGTTCAGTTCGGGCAAATGGAACAGAAAGCAACAAGTAACCATGCGGACGAAGAGAATACCGACCAGCATGTTTCATTACAAGCAGGGAACATAGATAAGAAGGCAGCAACCCAAGTATTGCCTTATATATAAAACTGTATAGATGAGAGTTCCTCCGACTTACCAAAGCAGGCCGTCCTACCTGAGAGTATAACTCACAGTGGTGAGTCTGAAATTTACGGTTAGTGATGAACCTCAGAGAAGCACGATACACAGAATCAACCATTCAAAGACATTGAGCAGAAGCATTCATATATAGAATATCACCCTAATCCAGCACAGGCAAGAATGTTGCAGCAAGAAGCCGCTTCTTTGTATTAACACACAACTTATTTTGAAAATAAAATCTCAGTTTTAACTTCTATGTTGGATTCTCTACATGTGGTTTGAAGGTAAGCAAGTCATCAATCAAGACTCCCAGATATTTATAGGTGTGAACCAACTCTATTTTATTACCTTCAAGAGTGGTTACTGATGGGATTGTTTGGGCTCGTCTCCTTGATTTAGAAAACAACATGAGCTTTGTTTTGTCTGCGTTGAGAACAAGTTTAAGCTGAAGTAATGAGTGCTGGACAGCAGAAAAGGCTTTCTGCAAGGAGTCAATGGCTTGGACAAGAGTTGAACCACAGCTGTAAATAACTGTATCATCAGCATAGAAGTGCAAGTTTGCATCTGGCACATGCAAACTTGCATAAAGTATCTGTACTTTATGTCAGTATTTGTTTTTCTGACAGCTTTTTACTTTTACTCTCCACATTTTAACACAAATATTTCATCTTCCTACTTTATACATTTTCCAAGCGTGCTCCTTACGTTAGGTTTAACACTGACTCACATCGTAAGTTATTTCCCATCACTGCAACCCTTTAAACATCAAACCGATCTGAAAGTAAATGTAGGACCGATTACAGGTAAAATAGAGTCCTATTGGTTTATCCATCATAAGGACTTATCAGAAATGACAAGATAAAGAGGCAAAACCATATAATTTATGCATTGCTACTGTTAGTTAAAGGAGGCCATAACGGTGCTTTTTTATGTTCTGGTCACAGTACATCAGCTAACTACTGAAGTACTACAAAAGAAACGAGAGATAAGATCATTTTGTTTAGAGATGGAGAAAGATGTAAGACATTGTGGGTGGCCTACTTCAGCTCAGGTTCTCTACCAAAGGCCTGGGAGCCTGAGGTTCCTGCACAGTATCTTTGCTGTTCCTAGTTCCACCCTCTTCTAGACAGAGATGTTGGATGTCACCCCACATTTTGCTGGAGCCACTAGGCCAGTTCGGAGGTTATGTGTTATGATTACCATGGGAACCACTGTTGCCTTCACTCTCCGCATCTTCTCGGGCTCCTCTCTCAGCCCTTGGTACTTCTGCTTATCATGTTACTTTTTCTTGATGTTGTTATCACTAGGTTCAGCTACATCACTATGGCCATCTTCCTCTGCTTGTCCACTAACAGTGGTACATACCGTGCAGGGGCCTATCCTTCTATGATGGTTCCTCTCCTTGCTTCTCGTCTTACTCAGGTTTCTGCTGCCTGAGGTATTCACTAAGCACATAATGAATTGTGGCCAACTTTTTGATGTACTCATGGATGTTCCTTGTCTCATCCTGGACAGTGGTTCTGAAACTCACTAGTCTTCGGCCTCCTCCGTTCTGCTTAGTGTACAGCCTCGGGGTGCTGGATTTGGGGTAATACTCTGCATGCATGGTCAGGAGCTTTCTTGTCTTGATGCAAGTGGCTTCTGTCTCCTCCTTTGGTCAGCTTATTATCCCAGCAGGGTACTTGATCATCGGCAGGGTGTACGTACTGATTGCCCAGATCTTATTCCTCCCATTCAGCTGACTCCTCTGGACTTGCCTTACTTTCTGCAGGTACTTCGTGGTTGGGACTTCCCTAGCAGCTTCTTCATGGTTCCCATTTGCCTGTAGGATTCCTGGGTACTTGTAGCTGTCCTCAATGTCTGCATTGTTGCTTCTGGTAGTGCAGTCCCCTCAGTTCTGACTAGCATCCCTCTTTTCGTTACCGTCCGACTACATTTCTCCAGTCTGAATGAAATTCCGATGTTATTGCTGTAGATTCTCGTGGTTTGAATCAGTGAATCAATGTCTTGTTCACTCCTGGCATACAGTTTGATCTCATC